AAGACAAGGGTGGAGCAAGCGAAGCAAAATACATTGTTCGTTTCCTAGAGGGTAAGCTTCGCCTCGGATTGGCAGAAAAGACCGTTCTCGTCTCTTTGGCTCAAGCAATGGTATGTCATGAGATTGAAGCGAAAGGTTCCGGAAAGGTTCCAAGCACAGAACAGATGGCAAAGGGAGAGTCAATATTGAAAGCAGTTCATAGGTATGTTATTATCTTCCAGATCTTGAATGATTATTAACCAAAAATAGCTCCCTTCCTAGTTATGACGTGATTATTCCAGCAATGTTGGAGCACGGCATCTTCAACCTGAAAGACAACTGCAAGCTCCAACCCGGTGTACCGTTGAAACCTATGTTGGCCAAACCAACAAAAGCAATCACGGAAGTCCTGGATCGATTTGAAAATCAAACTTTCACTTGCGAGTATAAATATGATGGAGAAAGAGCTCAGATCCATTACGTTTCTAAAGATTCTCCCAAACAATATCTCGGTGCTACGCCCGCCGCTGCCAAACCATCTGCTGGAGGTCTCGCTGCTATATTCTCGCGAAACTCAGAAGATTTGTCCAAGAAATACCCAGATATCCTTGGCAAACTGAATACATGGGTCAAGGAAGATACCAAGAGCTTTGTACTCGATTGTGAAACTGTTGCTTGGGATATGGTTGAAAAGAAAGTCTTGCCTTTCCAACAACTCATGACACGAAAGAAGAAGGATGTCAAGGTCGAAGATGTTAAAGTTAAAGTTTGTGTATTCGCGTTCGATCTGCTTTTCCTGAATGGTGAAGCTGTTGTTGAGAAATCATTACGAGAACGTCGTGCACTTCTCCATGAAGCTTTCCAACCTGTCGAAGACGAATTTCAATTTGCTACTAGTATGAATGGTCAAGAGATTGACGAGATTCAGACATTCTTAGATGATAGTGTCAAGGCATCGTGCGAAGGGTTGATGGTGAAGATGTTGGATGGTACGGAAAGTGGTTATGAACCCAGTAAGCGAAGTAGGAATTGGCTTAAAGTATGTACTCTCATCCCAATTCATTTCCTCAATCATACTAACATCCACCTCAGATCAAGAAGGATTATCTCTCGGGCATCGGCGACTCTCTCGATCTCGTCGTTCTAGGAGCCTACTATGGTCGTGGAAAGCGTACTTCCGTCTACGGAGCCTTCCTCCTCGCCTGTCACAATTCTCAAACTGATACCTACGAAACTATCTGCAATATCGGCACTGGTTTTAGCGAACAAGTTCTCGAAGAACTCCACGCCCAACTCTCTGCTATAGTCATCGACCGTCCTAAGCCATTCTACTCCCATTCGTCAGGAAATCAACATCAACCTGATGTTTGGTTTGAGCCCAAATATGTCTGGGAAGTCAAGACGGCTGATTTGACATTGAGTCCGAGATATAAGGCGGGTTGCAAGGAAGGTGTCGACAAAGGGGGAGAAAAGGGCATTTCGTTGAGATTTCCGAGATTTATCAAGATCAGAGACGATAAGAAACCGGATATGGCAACTAGTAGTAGACAGGTGGCAGAGATGTACAGGAAGCAGGAGAGTGTTACGAAGAGTAAGGGCCCGAGTGTTGATGATGATTTTGAGTATTAGATCACGGGACGAAGAGAGTTGGGGGTGAAATGTCGGTTGCTTTGTCGTGCTTATAAAACGGATGCCCCATAGGCGCTGGTGTGTTTGGAGATAATTATATGAGAGCTTGTTGGTGCCAGGTGTGGGGATATAGTTGCATTGTATGAGATAAGATGAAATGTTACAATATGGCTATAGTTACTCGAGTAGGTGCCTACAAAACTACAATGTCGGATAGCTACATAGCAATTACGCATAGTTTGCAATCTCGACAGGCTTTGAGCTTGCAAAATATCCAGCTGCGAGCTTTTATTGTCCACAGGCATTTATTTGCTTCACAAGCCTCGCCTCACCCCGTAAAACATGCGCTGGTTCTACGCCGTTTTAGAGTTGTTTTGAATGTCACCCGTAGATATGAACAATCGAAGCCATCGCTGAAGAGGAAAGTCTGCCCTTTGTGGCTATAACTCATACACCTCTTGGTAATTTTTTATTGCATCAAAAGCTGTGAAAATCACCAAAAGCTACCAAGGTCATGAATCCAAAATATTTGTTTTATCATTGAAAAAAAGCGTTTACTAAATTAATGTACTTAAAAACTATTATACAACCTAATCATGCTAGCGATCCTGCTGTGCGTGTATTATCATCCTTCATATCAATATTCCACTTATCCGCTTCACTCTTTAAAATCTGTTTCCTAACATATCATGCATGCCAAATCAAATTGTATCAAATTGTATCAAATCAGACCAAGATTCAGAGCCGGAACGAGATCCTATTCGTGTCCCCCGTTCCCTGTCTTTCCCACCCTCTTGATTTCCCCTCCCAATCCCTCAATTTTCTCACCTAATTGCTCCCCTGCGTTTCCAAGCAAATGACCTGCTTCCTTGTTCGCGTATTCAGAAGTCGATGTTGTCGTTTCTGTCAGATTATTTCCCATGGTAGCTGCTCTGTCGCTTGCTTCCCTTGTTGTTGGGACAATAGCATTTGTCTTTTCCCCAAGATTTTTGGCTCCATTGAACACTTTATCAGAGACGTCCTTTGCGGATTTTGTGATAGTAGTAGTGGAATTTTGGGCTGTAGACGCGAGACTCGAGCCATTGTCACGAGCAGATTGAAGCGTATTCTCTCCCATTGTTTTGAGACTGTGTAAAGCATTCTCACCTCCTTCCATGACCTTTTCTCTCGCATCGTTGATGATTGCTTTTGGCGAGGGACTACGCTTCAACAATCGTAAAACCATGAAATAAAGTGAGAGTATGAGTTCATGTACACGATCTTTCACAATCATCGTTAATCCATGGCCTAGAAACCCTTTGATAATCTCCCCTCCGATGCCTTCGTATAATCCTCCTATTCCTTCTTCCTTGTAGATCTTGAGTATGGAATGAACGATTGTGTTTCTTCTTGCTTGCTTGGAAACATCTTTGAGATTTTTCTGTGCTTCCTGGGCAGATTTCTTGGATCCGTTCTTCGTTGCATCTTTCACATTGTCTGAAAGCTTCTCAACGCTTTCTTTCTTGACTGGGGCAGAAGATCCGTCGACTTGTGCCCGAGCCTTAGCTAGACTCACGGGATATGTGATACTGCTTGCAACCGCCTTACTAACCGCCGCCAACAAAAATGTAATTCGTGCCCCTGGATCATCGCGTTTATCTCTCGGGATAATAACACGTTTGAGAAACTCATAGAGGAAGAATGTAATACTCGGATTGAGAGTGAGAATTAAAGATGCACTATAACCGGACCAGAGACCAGTAATACCTTTCTTCTCTCTTATATCCGATATTATTGAAGATATTGTTGGAGATTTTGAGCCAGAGGAAGCAGTCATCGAATGAGTTTGCTTTCGCACGACAATGTTCGACAACGGTGTGGTGAAAAACTTTGATAACCCGCCAGCTAATGCGCCGACTCCCAATTCTTCGAGTGCTGGAAGAGTAGCTTTGGAGGGTGAGTGATGAGATTGTAATCTTTTTGAACGAATGTATCCGTAAAAGAGGAAAAACAGGAACGAATCTGCAATGGATTTGGATGTGTCTTGTAAGACTCCACTGTAAAATCCGGTGATCCCTCCTTCTTCATTGTAAATCTTATCAAAGGCGTCGGCGACTGATGTATATTTCTGTGGCTGTCTTGAAGTAGGAGAGGAGGAATTTGCGAGAGTTCTTTGGACTTGAAGACGTGTTATGATGAGGTCGAGGGGATAGATGCAGAGGTTTGAGATGGCGGTTCCAGTCGCGCCGCTTATGGCATGGCCGAGTGCTGGGAGAGCTGTTGAGGTCGCGGAGGATGATGAGGTATCCTGATATTGATGATATTGCGTGAATGCATCCTAAAACATTGTAAGTATTGACACATAAACAGAAAATTCAAGAGTTCGGACTGGCAGACTGGAGCTCTTAACGTGCACATAGTGCAACATTCAAAGTGAATACAGTCTTTCAAATCATCTCATTTGTCCTCTTGAAGCCAAGAATGACAAGGTTTCGATTGTTGAACTGCAATTCGGACTAATGGAAGCTCTGTGTAAAGAGAGATAGACGAGAAAAAGGGAGGGCACAATACAAGCTGACTATTGTAAACATTTGCCATGGTTGTCCTATCTGACCTTGGTACGAAGTACCTTGCAATATTTCTGATATGATCGTTGCTGTCGTGGAAGATGGTTATATTTGTAAAGTCATAGATCTATTATATTTGGTATGGAACATTAGAATTGAGGGGAAAATTGTTGAAGTTCATATACCAAAGCTCTCGGACATGTGAAATGTACCTACCATTTACGTCATCGAAAGTATAAACAAAAGGGGGAAACAGGGTTTCCCCAGATTATTCTTATGTAATCAACCCGTCCTCTACGTCGACGCGCGCCACAACAATCATAGTCGGCTTTTTGAAACGGTAGACCATTAGATACAAGCCACCTGGCCTCGTACGAATTGACGGTAATCATATCAAGTATCCAGTGATTCTTCATGTCTTAGTTGAACATTCAGTCTAGTTGCTCAATTTTCTAAAGATCTTAGATGCATTGAGTGATGCCTTCTAGTAAACGTTTATTGGAGATTGACTTAGCATCAGATGGGCTATTTTCCTCTCTGATGACGGATCCCGTACTCAATAGAAAGAAGGAAGATTGTCGATCTAGACCTCTTTCCCCCTATGTTATATCTATATCTCTCTCTGTCCTTTCGGGGAGGGATTGGCTGGCGTCGCTTCAGACGTCGCTAATACTTAGGACATAATTGGACAATCGTCATTCCACACATTTTGAATTATGATAGTTTTAATATGGGTTCGCTATTTAACGCTAATGTACTCACTGATCAATCGTTTTCACTCCGAAATCATTTCAAGCCTACCAGTTCCATCGCTTTCCCTTTTATATCTACCTTCTCTTCCACCCCTCACCTCTTCACATATCTATTCCTCAAACCCATACCACTTCCCCCTTTCTTCATTTCTTCTATCTTCAGTTCTTCGGCAGCCCTCTCATCTTCCCTTTGTCTTTTTGTAGTTGCTCTTTGCCTTCTCTCCTCCCCACTAAATGACCTCACTACAACCCTGACTGCATAAACCTGACCCTCCTCATTCTTGACAAGGTTGAATGGCCTCAAATGCACACGTCGAAGCTGTTCAAGCATTATTTGTGCTTTGGCTAGTTCTGTTTCGATGAGTCGTAGTTCGTTATGCTTTGTTAGCATTAAGTGGGAAATCTCAAGCTCAATTTGATCACGGATGTTGGTTGTGGTGGTTTGGAGAGCGGTATGCCGTGGGCTTTCCAATATCCTACTTGGAGTCATCAATTGACTTGAATTTGAAGTGATTTGAACCGGTTCTGCGGCTTGGGAGGGCCTAATAATTGGACGGGGAGTTCGCACCTCACCTCTGTTTTGACGTTCGGATTCTACCGGGACCATGATTGATTTTGGAATATCTGGCGCATCATTCATTTCCACATTCTCAGAGTTGACCTGGATAGTGTGAGTAACAAGCGATTGGCCAGAATTAGATGGATTTTGGAGATTTGTGTGCGGATGTTGAAGAGGTCCCAGTCTTGACGGGCATCCCTGTGGAGACGACGATGTCAGTGGCATTTTGAGACGGCTCAAGAGATTGAAATTAAGATTGGCCTGATCCATGAAGAGCTTTTGTGTCCTTCTCTCAAGAGCAACCAGATTTGGACCAAAATTCCCAAGTTCTTTGATCTTGGCTTTTGCTCTCGAAAGACGCTTCCGTGGATGATCTTTGTTCTCGGTAAAGTTATTGCTAGAAGAAATGCTTGAAAAGTTGCTTCTGTGTGGCTGATGAGATGGGAAGGAAGGTAGTGCGCGCGTTTCTTCCGTGCCCTGACTGGTATGTGAATTATGACTAGGATAACGAGAACTATCTGGTTTTGTTGAAGGGACAGATCTTCCGAACTCAGGAACTTGGCGAAGATCTTTCATTATGAGCAAAGAAAGCGAGATTTGTTGGTGAATGTTACTTTTGAAGTGATTGTGCTTGCATGTAGTTGTCGACAATCTGACTTAAGACGTTGTTGTTTGTAGTTAGAAAACGACAATCTCACTTTGTCAATATATGATTGGAATCTGTAGAGGTACGGCTCGAAGGACATGGTCTTAGCGTGGATGAATCAATAACAACCGTAAATAACGCTAGTCATTATCAAGAGAAAATTTGTCAACAAGGGCGGTAAGTAGGAAAAGTGAATAGTTCTCGTTCAATGGAAAGCACAGTATACCAGATGATAATTCCCATAACCTCACGAAAGTTGAGACTATCGCATTCTTTCTTGATTGATTCTCAAGAGACAAAATGGTGGTCTCGAATTTTCCAAGAAATTGAAAGCCCAGATGAGATGAGATAATATCAGGGTTTCATCTTTGTCCTAATTTCAAATTGCAACTCCAAAGGTACAATTTACTAATGTTCAATAGGAAGTGCTAGAGTGATCGGGGACAAAAGACATGACATCTTAAAATCAACAGGATTATCAACCGATCTTTGAAATCCCGTCCAATGTTCAATTTTCGGCTTACAAACTGAAGTCCCTTTCAACGCAACACAAATTTGCGCTTTGTTGTCCCCCGAAGCCTATAAAATTTCCTAGACGAGATCAATCATATGCTAGGCATGCAAGATTAGGGTTCTTAAACATAATGGGGGCTTGTAGAACTGAAGCATTGCTATTCGATCTCAGTCTCAATCAAGAACAGATGCATTTGCGACAAATTTGGTCGCGTTCATGGTGGACGCGAGACTGCACGATGCGCTTATTCATTTGATGTGGAGCGCCAGGAACATTCGGCATCTTGGCCACCATTCAATATGATTGTTTCAATGATGTTTGGACAATCATTGCACGGGCTTTAGGAATGAAGTCAACTGATATCCACGATTCTTTGATTCCTTTTGAACTGACGAGTGGAGAGTTTGTATGATATTTGAGGGAGTGGAGACACAACGTTTAGAGGGTTTGGGAGTAGTCGTACACAAATCCAAGTTAAACCATTCAACTAACAAAGGATCATCGAGTAATGTTCTGTAATCATTAGATATTGAAGCAAGGATAGGAAAGAAGTCCTCATCAGCTCCTGGTGTAAGTCATCGTTGCACGTTACCTCAGCTGGCCAGCACAGGCTATAACGAGCTTAGCGTGGAGAACGGACTAATGTTTCACCGTGCAATTGCTTTGTCAGGTGATCATCTTCGAACTTTTGATCTCTTCACCAATATTCCCGACCACATAAATTTACGACTCATCCTTCGAATAAAACCTCAAGTATCGATATATTTAGTCGCCTCTTTTCCTCAGATATAGCCAAAATTCAAAAAGGCCACCATGTCTCACAGCAAACGTAATACCTCCCGTGCGGTCTTCACCTCCTACGAGCGTGAGTTGGCGAAATCAGCCTGGACAAGCAGTAGTGCTCGTTTATCTCGAGACTCATTTTTACCATTTGCTTCATGTCGCCTGTGTCTTCTACCTGCGCGTACTCCTGTTTCGTGTAGTCATGGTGATATATTTTGTCGCGAGTGCGCGTTGAGCAATATCTTGGCACAGAAGAAGGAAATCAAGAGGCTGGAGAAAAACAAGGAAAAGGACGATCAGGACAAGAATGAAGATCGTGTGAGAGAAGAAGATGAGGCGAGAGAGAGAGCTGTAGCGGAATTTGAGAAAGTACAAATGGGGCTCGAGGGGAAGACCGGAGGAAAAGGCGGCAAGATTGTAGGGAGAGAAGGAGGAAAGATTTTGGTGGAGCAAGAGGTAAATGGTGAAGGTGGAAAGAGGGGAGAGAAGAGAAAGTTTGAGTTGGATGAGGATGAACTTTTGAGAATTGCACAGGATGAGAGATCAAAAGCGAGGAGAGCTATCGATGACGAAAAAGTATGGCGCCCAATCTGATCATCATGACAATTTACTGAAACTACGATAGGCTTCCAAAACAACTCTACCTAGTTTCTGGGTTCCATCCGTCACACCAAGTTCGAATACCAACACCACTCTCCACAACATCGTCAAGAAAGCCAAACAATCACCAGTTTGCCCTGCCTCACAACAAGATAAACCACACAATTACTCACTCCACACCTTAATTACCGTCGCATTCACAGAAGAAACCGATAGTGTCACGAAAAAGCCGCAAAGAATCTGTCCTTCGTGTAAGAAACAATTGACCAACACTTCCAAAGCCGTACTTGCAAAGCCCTGCGGTCATGTGCTCTGCAAATCATGCGTTACCAAATTCATGACCCCAAGCGGAGTTCACGACCCGCACGCAGAAGCGGGAACAGATCAGAATGCCGTAGCTTGTTATGTCTGCGAGGCAGATCTGACAGAGAGAAATGATGTTAAGGAAAAGGGGAAGAAGGGAGATAAGGAGAAGATCAAGCCGGGATTGGTAGAAATCAAAAGCGAAGGAACAGGATTTGCTAGTGCGGGGGGTAATAAAGTTGTGAAGGAAGACGTCGCTTTTCAATGTTAAGAAAAGTATGGCTTCACGATAGATTGTATGATAGGGCGCGCGATAGATTGTGGTTATTCAAGGAAGATAATTAATATTGTACCATGACTTCTCACAGCCTTTAGACTATGGGTCTGAACATGCCACTAACAGTGTTCGCGCCAACTTCGAAGAAAACAACTAAGACTTGATAGGCCTTAGGCTATGCTATTGGGGATACCTCAATAACTTGACTGTTCCGGCGCGCTTTGCAAGCACTCTCTTAATGTTTGTCTTGTCAGGATCTTCTTTATCTTTTCCTCTCACTTCCTCCTCTCTTTCATTAGCTTATTTTGTTAACTAGCGGAAGAAGGCGGGACGTCCTCCCTCTCACTCCAGACGCCGCTCTAAATTACACACCAATGAGACTTTGTATTACAAGCTACTATATAACCTAATTCAATAACTTAGCATAGAGAATAACTTTCCTACGATACACAAACCCTAACCCACGATGGTTTTCCTACAGGCTCCAAACCTTCCACTGATCACATGTACATACATAGAGAATCCAACCACCAAACACCAAACAACACGTACACTCAGTCATTCCCTCCAGCCTACGATGTATCAGCGCACTCATAGAAAGAGAGCTCTGTATCGTGATCGATAACATTAGTTGGGTAGCCTTCGACTCTCATAGAAGAGACTATGTGTGCGATTCGAATTGAGTTACTATACTCCCTTTCTGATACTCGTACACATGTACGTGGTAGATAATCTCCTATGACCATTCTTTATGTATCTTTGATTGTGAATTTCAGCAAGTGAACTGACGAACTCGGTGACGAATTTCGTTTTTCTCTTCCAACAAGAGGACAACGGGAAGCGATTATATTGTTAGTGAAACATCAAGTCTTAGACTAGGTGTCCCGCTATATCTCAAGACCACTCGCAAATTTCCACCAAGAACTAACAATTCGAAATAGGTGCAGAATCATCAAGATTATCCACAACATCGTCAAGTACCCAGCAACCATCATAGTCACTTCAAAACATACTAATATGATCCCATAGCGCCGACCACATTCCCAGCTTGGAAGAATTGAAAGATTGATTCAGAAGAAAGAGTGTTCTTCGTACGAAGATTTCGGTAATTCCATGAAGGTTATGATATGTACTAATCGAATGCAATACAAAAAGTCAAAGACAACTTCACGATGATTTCACACCATGTTTTGTGTAGATGATTGGAAAAAGAGAGCACATGTATCAAAAATACTGACTTCACTGGCCAGGTCTACTCGACATAATCTGAGGTTCAAAACTGACAAGTAAAATAAAGCGCAGAGAAAGTCATCATGAGTCTCAAGGTACTGACTTATCAAGATACTCAGCAATCATCCATTCCGAACTATAAGAGTACCACATAGCTATAAAGAAAAAGGAAGTCTTCACCCTTTTCCATTCAAACCGAAGATTACCCGTTATTTGCATTCACAGTGCGTCTTTCAAATTTGTTCTCGCAACCGAGTCAACCTTCAACCTACCCCGCGATGGCAACGCACTCGAGCTCTCACCGCATCTATGAATACCATCACGTACCTCGTATGTACAATACATTTCTGTCGAGTAGATTCGATTTAATTAGTTTAATTGTGTAGCCCGTGCAATTGTAGTGGGTATTTTCCTGGGTGCTGAATCCTGATCCCTCAAGTCGAAACTCCCTCTGTCCAATCGAGCCAATCGAGGCAATGTCAAAAAGCAAAAGTTTAATAATTAATTATTCGCCTCCTCCTTTTCATCGTCGTACTCGTAGTCGTAGTGGATGATGAGTGGATCCGAGAACGTGCGTATCTGAAACAGAATTGACGGGTGGTAATATGGATGTTGTGATAAACATCTCTTTATTTTACTGGAGATTTCTTTTTGCGATCTTCGGCTCCAAACAGATAAGAGGGACCCTTGATTGGAACAAATGGGTAAATCCCCTTGAGAAGTTATGAAGTAGATGATTTTACATGATTTTCATAAATTAAGAATACCCTTGGAAGAATCCTTAAAACTTCGAATCGCATAGACGCTTCCCCAACATTTTCTCAATTAGTATTTGAATCCCGAAGTACACCAGAAAAACGAGGTCCGAATCTGGAAAATTTTCAAACGTGGGGGCTTAAAAAGTTCTACATTATACTTTGTGAGTGCATGATACTTGTCTGGGTACTCATTAGTTCGAGCCTCAAGTCTGCTGTACTACAGTACAACAATAAACCACGCATTGCCTTTGGCATGTGCATAACCGTTCACTGTTTCAGTATAGGGGGGGAAAACGCCAGAAAATATAGCCACAAACCTTGGGAGACACAACATTTGTATCCCACCATGTTCATCCTCTACTTCTTCTAGAAGTCGGAAGTCGAAGCCCCTGATGATCTGGCTCCTAAACTCCATTTAAAACACATCACTACCGCGTAAAGCATATTATAGCCAAGCTCATGGGT